ACCAGGGATTTAGCTCAGTGGTGCAGCACCTGTGTGGCAAGCCTTAGGCCCTGAGTTCGATTCCTGGTAACTCCCCCACCCCGCCCCCAAGAAAAGACTAAAGCATAATAAAACTGCTAGGAATGTTGGATCATCATTGTAAATATTTTTCAAATATTTTGCCACCTTTCTGGAAAAAATATAATTCTATTATTATGAAGCATCCCAGTTTTCTTAAACTTAAATATGTAAAAAGTTTCCAAGTTTTATGGTTAACAGTATCAGAGATATCATAATGAGATAACTGTAAACACATTTATTTTCCCATCATTTGGGCTTTGGAACCTGGTCTGTTATTTTCTCAGTTCTTTATTACTGAACTTACTTGGATTTGTTTTACATGCTTAAAACGTATGTAAAAATGAGATGTGATCTTAGGATCACTGTAGTACCTAAAAAAAAAAAAAAAAAAAAATCCGTAATTTTTACTTTGTCAGTTACTCATTTTGGAGATAGTCTAAACATTAAGCCTTAAAGTTCAAAACATTCTTGGTATTACCACATAAACCTCTGGATATCCTGACTATCTGGCCACTGAAAAGTCTTATTCAGAAAGATATAAAAAGTTAGGAAATTAACAAGTACATAGCAACTCAGTTCACAAAGGAGTCTGGAAGTGGGTGGCAGAGGTATGTTAACCCTGTAAATAACATAAGGTAAAATAAAGTAACGAAATTCTAGCAGTTTCTGAGGAACTGTAGAAGTAAACAAGCATATAAAAAACATTAAATTCCAGAAAACTGATTTTGATTTCAATGAATCAGCTATACTCCAACCAGCAAATATGTAGCCTGGAACTAACAAATATTTCACAATATCATGTTTTTGAAAAACTCGCTTCCACACATAGAACGTATAATGTCTATTGTCTGCTAGCAAGTATTTATGAACATAAGTGAACTTCCAAACTAAAAGTATGGACACTGAGGTAATCACAAGAAACTGGATTTTACGTTTCCAAGCTAAGCAAATAAAAGCCTTAATTTTAGCAGGAGATAGTAGGTGAGGAAAGGAAAAAAAGAGGGTGAAAGAGAAAAAGTAGAATAGCTGAGGAAAGTGAAGACAGGCTTCATGATTACTCCGATCACCAATAACAATTCCACCATTAACTGCTACAAAAGCACAAAAGGCCAGTACCAACAGGATGTAGGGCCAAGTCAGGAGGATGAGCACACTCAGGTTCTTAAAGGACATGCAGTACCCCAAAAGGAACCGAAGGATTTTTCTGAATTCTGCAAAGGGCCCTTTCACAGAGGGGAGTCTCTCTTCCTTCTTCTTTTGTAGCTCAGTTTTCCAGGCTTCTGTTAACTTGTGTGCAATGACGTGTCCTGCACAAAAGACGGTCCAGATGATATTTGTTTGGCGAAACATGAAGCCCCAAAATCCAAGCAAGGCTGAAGTTTTATGATTTCCATAAAGACACATCAGATAGGCAAAAAGAGTAAAAAACATGGATCCTGCTTCTGTATAATAAAGGAAGTTAAAAAAATAGAGAGTTGGAAATATTGCGAGTGCCAATGTTGATAAGACTCTCTGGATACTTGAAGCAGCCTTGGAGGAGGAAAAAAAAGGTTACAATTATTTTCATGACAAAACAAATATGCTATTTTTGGTGAACAATGGAGAGATTTGTTTTTTTTTTTTTTTTTTAAAAAGAACACCACTTCAACCTTATTTGAACAAACTTGTTCAATATTAATTCCATGTATGGCTTTGTAAAACTTCGATATGCATTTACAACAATATTTCCTGCTACTTTTTAGTCATAGCTCTCAACTTGGAGGCCACTAGAACAATTGTGTGCGCCACTGTTTCTATGGCTTAAAACACTGTGAGTAATTCAATGAAAGGTTAAGGGTTACTGGGCATTAGAGAGTAAACTATGTCTTGCAGGAAATACAGAGATGAACAGGACACTAAGCAGGTAGCTTCACTTCTCTAAGCTTAAGTCTTAGCCTTGCAATAAGCACTCAGTCACCGTCATCAATTCCCTCTAAAAGTATCTCTTCAAATCCTTGGACTAGAAAAATAATAAATGTGTGTGTAATATTTGTACTACTCTATCCAATGATTTTTTTTTATGATAAAATCACAAGTGTTTTCTAGAAAATAGCAGACTTAGTCTAAAGTCAAATACCTTCTTTTGGCTTTTCTACAGACAACTTCATAACTTAAGAGCTTTTACCTCCTTAAATATCTTTCACTTAACTCATCAAATCAGACCACACCATTCCCTTGATTAGTTGGGCCATCATCTAGTAGAAAACTTCAAAAATCTTTCCATGACATGGAGATCTTACAAGGAATACACACAAATACACAAATACACACGCCCGCACACACACACACACACAAAGATACTCTTGATTTCCACTCCATCTACATCTCTCTAATTTATTTATTTATTTTAATTTAAAGCCAAGCACTTTATTGCAAATCTCTTCCACAGAGAGAATTTACAACATACCACTTCATGGAATGTCATCATAGTTGTATTCTACTGCTGGTGTCTTAAAACTAGCACATCACCACGAAGCATTTCTTTTTTTTTTTTTTTTTTTTTTTTTTTTTTTTTGTCTTTTTCCTTTTTATCGGTACTGGGGATCGAACTCACGACTGCCTGCCTGCAAGGCAGGCGCTTATGCCGCTGAGCTAAACCTCCAGCCCAAAGCATTTCTTTACTACACATGAGGAAAGTAAGGCCAATGAAGGCTAACTTAACCTACTCTAGAATTCTACCAATTAATGGCAAAATCAAGACCAAAAATCTGGATTTCCAAGCTTTTTACTCAGCTCAGGAAGTAGGCAACCAGGAAAAAAACCAATTATGTCACATATTTTCTTCCATAATGAAAAATTCACTTGTGTTCTGCCAGACTTCTTTTGATAATATTTTGGTTTCTTAAGAATCAACATAGTCGGAATCATAGTGCAGCAAAAACAAAAGATGTGGTCTCTGCTTGCTATTTTAATCCAGAAGCAGACTAAAAAAAAAAAAAATGGGTATGTCCCTGAGAAGTTTGTTTCATTTTGGAATTGATTCAACTTAGCTTCTGGGAGAACATAAAATGTATAGAATTAGAATTGAAGAAGGAGGACAACAAGGATGAGTGTACCTCAGTGATGGAGCAGCTGTCTAATATTATGTAAGGCCTTAGGTTCAATCCCCAATACTGCTGCCTCCCCCAAAAAGAAAAAGAAAAAAAAAAAAAAAAAAAAAAATTTAGATGGCTGTTGCTCTGAATCTCTTTCAGAACATAATTAGCATAAATAACTCCTAATTCTTCCCATTTAATAGGTATCATTTCCAACAACTGAAGAAAATTTCAAACACAAATTCATTTAGGCAGTGTACAACAATGGAACTACAAAACCATCTACTATCCAATCACCAGGTGTTAGGGCTACAGAGAAATTTAGAAAGCCCTTGTCCCTTTTAACAGTTGTCCGTGGACGTTACTGTGAAAAGAGTTTGTTCTTATGCCCATTTCCTCATTAAATAAACTAGACCACAGCTGTGGGATCAAAACACAGATGGATCAAAGCACCTAGGCTGAACACAAGTTAGTTTTGACCCCTACTATATAAATGACAGCAGCACAGTGTTCCCTCATCCAATCACTGCATATAGCACTGCTTCTCATCTAGCTCTGACCCCAGTACTTAATTCCTCCCAGTTAAACATTCTAATAGCTCTATCCAGATCAATATTGGACTTAGCTTTCCGGGGCCTTTAATTTGCCATATATGTACTGTACACTAAAAGTGATCAACTGCAAAAAATAATCTCTTCAAGAAAGTGTCATAACAAAATACCAGATTCCCTACTAACACAAAAAGAGGATCAAGTTTAACAGGCCAAAATAGACAAGGAGTCATCAGCAGAAACCCCTAGGTGTGCGAGCTGTAAATATCCTGAGAGGAGTGGGAAACAGATATGTTTCTTTCCCGTTTAGTTATCCTCTGAGCTCTCAGATCTTTCATCTGTAGGCACTTTCCAATTTGTGCCTTTGTTGTACTTTTATGTACTTCATTGTCAGCTATAAGAGGGAAATGGACTCTTTCCCCATTCTTTTTCCTTTTGGTTTTCTTAAGAGTCTCTTTCCTTTCTTTCTTCAGAACTACTAGACTTTGAATCATTTGACTGGGAAGTGTGACTTTCTGGCCCGACAAACAAAACTGGTTTTTTGAGACTTTTTTCTGGATTTTTTTTCTTGTGCTTATGTGGTTGCTTTCTTTTCCTGGCACTAGAAGCATGTTTCTTCTGCGAACTCGCTTGAGGAATCTGCTGTTATGTCCATGGCTTCTTTCTTGCTTTTCTTGTTTTTTTGTGAGATCTTTCCTTCTGCTTCTTTTTGTAGAAGTTCTTTGACTTCTTACGTTTGCAGGATTTATGGGTAGATGATTTTATCTGAGATGTTTTCTTCCCATTGGTATATTTTGCTGATCACTGTCTGTTTTGAATTCTTTAGGATATAACTCTTTATAACCACTGTGACACTGTGATCTGCCTGGCATGTTAGTTTCATAATCCTATAACTTCTTGTTCCAGGAGTTAGTATTTAGAAAATCCTCCAGTGACCCAGAAATTTCAGTTTGTGGCCTCCAATATTCTCTCCGACTTTCTTCATCAAAGCCATCACTATGCACCCAATTGTAACTGCTGGGTAACATTTTTCTATCGGTTTCCTGGTTAAGTACCCTCCATTTGTGTTTCCTCTAAAGAAAATATAAATTCCACAAGGAAAAGGCTGCCTCACACAGCTTTCTACTTTCTATGCCTAGCTCATGAAATAAGCTCAAAAAATATCAAGATAGCTTGCAATTCACTAACACCTATTTTAAATTCATCTTTACAAAATATACACAGATAACAATGGTTTAATCTTCCTCTAAACGCCTAAAACCTATTCGTCTTAACTGCAGACCTGACAGCACACACTTTTGTACCAGAAACGTACCTTGTGTCTCGGTTGCACTTTCCGGAAAAGCAAATATAGTAAATAGAAGTTGCCAACACTGAAGAGAAGATTGACGAATCTGAGCATTCCAATGGAGCATACAACATGTTCAGACCATCCAAAGATCCAGCTGGCAGGCTTGACCACACCCACTGACACCAGGTATAAGCCAGGCAAGGTAGTAATCATGGGATCCCACTTAAAAATGAAACAACAATAAAACAAAAGCAAGCGGTAATTCAGACAGAACAGTACAGACACACGTATGCCAAGCTCAAGGTTCATCTGTATCAACAATCTAGAACCTTGGGAAGTTATTCCATAACATGGTTAAATAAGTCTTGATTAGATGCCTCCTTAAAGACAAGTTTTTCCTTTTTGCCTCTACACCTGTTTATGATTAAGATACCAGCAGCCAACAAATAATTTAAAATTTATTTCTATTTTTTGAGACTTGCTTTTTAGAAAGCCTGCATTTTGGTGAATAAATGGCCAAGCCTCCAGTTTTACAAAGCACATAAACAATAGTTGAGAAAAGATGTGTTGAGAGACTGGACCACAGGCTCCATAATAACCAAGGTTGTATCAGTCTAGGGACTATGCCCAAACCTCTGCATTTAATCTTACAATACGACTTACATTAGTAGTACTGTCATTATGCAGGTGAGTAGCTTGACAATCATTGCCAAGGCTTTGAAACCAATAAAGAACAGCACCAAGATTTAAAAACAGGTCTTCTTTAGTATATTCTGTATTTCTAGCCAGTACCCCATGATGTTATCAGAAGTGAACGAATAGTATGTTTTTGAACCTTTATCTATCGATATGGGCTGTCAAATTCATTTTTAAGTGATGCAATTTGACCGGCTGACAGTCTTCCTGGCTAACAGGGTTCTTTAAAACATCCAGGGAAGAAATGAGTCAACTGTCCACTTTCTGGCAGCTGCAGATCCATCCCTGTCCCCGATTACAGCACTGCGGAAAGGACCTCACGAGGAACTACAGGAGCTTTCTAGCCTTCTAGCCTAGGCCCCTTCGGGGCCTCCTGACTTGACACTAGGGAAGGCGAGCTGGGACAGACACCGTCGGGTGCCACTACTTACTCCCTCAGCTCAGTCCTTCTCAGGAGTCAGAGATGCTGTTTATTCATTCAGTTAGCAAACGTTTTGCAGGGCTCAGAGGCAGGAACAAAGGGTTCCCCAGCTCTCGTGCTGTCTGGAGGCTGGAAGGGTGAGCGGAGCGCCCAGAGGGGGATGCAGGAGGCAGCAGGCTGGCTGCCCAGGCTGGGTCCCCACCTGCGCGGGGGAGAAGCGGCCCTCGCAGTAGCGCTGCGCCTGCGGCAGGTGGAAGACCTCGTCCATGTAGGGCTCGCGCAGCGCCCGGCTGAAGGCGGAGAAGAGCAGGCAAGACACCAGAAAGGTGCAGCTCAGGGCAGCTGAGAAGTAGTAACCCTCCAGCTGTGCCATGCCTGCCCCCATAACCGCGGTCCAAGAACCCAGTCGTGAGAAACGTTAAGCCTGCAGAGCACAAACAGCAACTCAGGCTCGAAACGGGCGCGCAAGTCAGGACTGACCGGAAGGGACTAGGCGCAGCCGGAAGGCAAAGGATTCTGGGAGAGCGCGGGCGGGAAGAATCCTGTAATTGTTTCCGGAATGAAGAGTTTCTGCAACTGACTGGACTGTTGCCCTGTCAATCATATTTTGCAAGGCGCACAAAGCAGTCAGAGCTTCCTGGTGGGGCGGGTGTAGCAATTCCGCGCCTGCGCAAAAGTAGCGTGGTCCAGCCTTAGGGGGGGAAAAAACCATAACATGCAGCGGTTTTCACTGATCGTTTCCGTCTCTGACCACAGGGTGACGCTGTGTCCCCACGTTTCCGAAAATCTCCAAACTCAAACGTTACATTTCTTTGATGATTTTTGTTCTTCCCTTTGCTCTGAATTTTTAAAACCTTCAGTCAGAAGGCATTTCATTCCAAGAAACTGGATGGTGGAAAAAGAGCATGGTCTGTGAGAGCAAAGCTTGATACTTTTAGGTTAAAGCTGGAATAAGCCGAAAGTCGTGGAGATTCAGCCTCCCAGCGCTAAGGGAAGGAGTGACGCGCTCCCGCTCCACGTCGGGCTGCATCCAAACCCAGGCTGCCAGCTCCATAGGAAAGGGAGGAGCAGTTATTTCGGAATTTTGGAGTTTTAGGCGAGGGAGGGTGCTGTGCACGTGTAAATGTGTTAATTCTCTATCGCACGAGCATCGAAATGTGTGTACCGTGCTTGACTTGTGTTGTTCCCAGAATCCTTTTAATGAAGTTGTAGACCTTAAAGGCAGGTTGTATTGTTTAGATATTACATGTCCCTGTATTCTGATACTAGAGGCTGGAGGGCAGAGCGGGACAAGTTGAGGAATGCAGGAGATAAATTGTTTTGTAATTTTTCCTCAAGCACAATTGGCAATATTTTGTATAAAAATCTCTCCAGTGGCCTCTATCAAGTTCCTTTCTAGTGCAAAATAGCAAACAGTAGCCAGTATTTGTTGAGGGCTGCTAACATCAGGGTTCTTAACTTAGTCTTTCTCTGGAAGTTAATTCAGTCTGTCTCAGTTTAAGGGCAGCTTCTCAAATAAATCTGACTGGGTCCTTAAATCGTCTTCGTTATTTTCTCAATAATAAGAGGAACTTAGAATCAACCCGTGTTAATTTTCTGTTCTGATGTGATGCTTAACTTTGTCTTCTCTATTTATCTCCTATTTGAGTATTATGTCCATGCTGACGTATTTCCAGATTCAGTAATCAAAAAACTATTGTTTAGCAGTACTGTAATTGGCCACAAGCCTAGACAATCTTAATATACAGGGGTGGAGCAAAACTTACATGTATATTTAAAATCTATTGCGGTAAAGACACATTGTAATTAACCCTTTTAAAATCCCTTCACTTAGAATATATCCTATCTTTCTGGCCAATTTCAGAAGTATTTCAAGAAGTCATCTTCCATGAGCATCCTTAACACGTGTGATTAAAAAAAATAAAAACTGTGAATGTGGCTTCCAAATGAAATCCAACAGAAAGGCAATCTTGCTAAAATATTACGATGTGTTCTTATCCACCTTAATCACTGGATCTGGCCGCATGCAACTTCTGGCTTTTCCCCAAAGTAAAAATGACCATGAATAAAAAAGAATTTTGAATCAGTTTAGGACATTAGGGCAACCATAAGAACACAGCTAAAGATGAAAGAGGACATTCAGCATTGCTCTAGAATGTGTCAAGAACAATTGAATACAAGTGTTTGAAATGAGTGGAAGTATTTTGAGGGGGAATTGATGGCAACATATCTTTTACTTTAATTTTTAAAAATTTAAATGTTCACCATTTATTTTTGTCACAACTCATAGTCTTACTCTATAAGTAGTGGGCATATATTTTTTAACGACTAAAAAACATAATATCTGTGTAGAATTTCAAAATAAAATGACACAAAATTAACAGTGGTTTTTATATTGCATACTATTGTTTCAAAATGGTTGCTCAGATTACCAGATAGTTGATCAACCAATATAACCTTTAACTATTTCTGTTAATGAACTAATAGAATGAACAGTAGAATTATTTTAGCTATTTTCTATATGTATGTATATATTTTCTCCTTCCTTCTTTTTTATTTCCCCCATTCCAGTTGTTTTTTCTTTTGAGAAGTTTCTTTCCCTTTCCCACTCACAATATCTGTTATACCATTTGGATCTTACTTATTTATTCAGTTTCTTACACAAAGGAGACAATATGATATTTACACATACAAGGCTGATTTATTCACGTATGACTTGGACTATAGTTGCATTCATTTACCTCTAAAATCCTCACATTTGTCTTTGTTTATACCTGAGTAGCACTCCATTGTATAAAAATACCACATCTTTTTTTTTTTTCTACCTTGGTTGATGGACATGAGGGTTGTTTCCAGGATTTAGCTATTACAAATTCTCCTGTTATAAACATGGGTACACATACATTGCTATGGTATGATATTTTCAGTTTTTCTGGGAAAATACCCAGAAGGAAGTAGCTAAGTCAAATGAGACCTCTAATTCTAGTCTATTAAGGAATCTCCACACTGATATCCACAGTGGTTGCGCCAGTCTACACACCTCCCAACAATGGAGAAGGGCTCCTTTTCCCTCACAGCCCACCAGCATTTGTTATGGGATGGTTTTTTGATGACCACCATTCTTCCTGGGGTGAGATGAAATCTTGGTGTTGTTTTAATTTGCATTTATTGAATGATAGATGATGTTAAATTCTTCATATGTTTATTTGCAATTTGTATTTGTCATTCATCTGAGAAGTGTATTCATCTCAGAAGTGTATTCATCTCATTTTTGGGTTGGGTCTTGGGGGGTCTTTTTAAATTTCTTTACATGTTACAGATAGAAATCCTTTGTCTGAGGGACAGTTGGCTATAATTTTTTTCCCAATTCATGGGTTTTCTTTTCACTCTATTGGTGCTTTCTATTGAGACACAAAAACTTTTTAATAAGCATTTTAATAAATACTTTTAAATTGATGATTCTTTGAATGATTTCTCATACAGTCTGGATTTTGCTTGTGATCTCTGCCTACACACTAGGTCTTCAAGATTTCTACCTACTTTGTCTCCAGTAGATTTAGTGTTTCTATTTTAAAACTTAAATCTTTGATCCACTTTGAGTTTAGTTTTGTGCATGGTGATAGACATGGGTCTAGTTTTATTCTTCCGAATGTAGAGAGTCTTTTTTTTTCCAGCACCATTTATTAAAGAGGCTATCTTTCTTCCATCCAGTGAAAAATGCTTGGCATATTTTTCGAAGATAAGGCAGATGAGTGTCTCTGTAGCTGTGTCTGCATCTTCTATTCTGTATGAATTCTTCTAAGTAGAGTATTATGTTGTCTGTGATAATAACAATTTCACTTCTTCCTTTCTTACCCTTAATCCTCTTGTTTCTCTTTTGGCTAATTGCTCTAATTTTTTTTAGAACTATATTGTATAGGAGTGGTAACAGTGGATATCCTTGTATTGTTCTTGATTTTATGTCGAATGCTTTCACTTTTGTGTTTGTAGTATGATCTTGACTGTTGGTTTGTCATAGATGGATTTTATCAGATTGAGGTAAATACTGTCTATTCCAATTTTCTGTAGGTTATTTTTTTTATCGTGAATAAGTGTTGGATTTTATCAAAAGGTTTTTCTGATCTATTGATATGACCATGTGATTTTTGTCTCTGGCTCTGTTGATATGGTGTATTATGTTTATTGATTTACATATGCTGAACCATCCTCACATTGCTTGGATGAATCTCACTTGGCTATCTTGTATAATCTTCTTGATGATTTGCTGCATTTTTGCTATTATTTTATTGAGGCTTTTGCATTCACATTCTTTAAGGAGATTGGCCTGTAGTTCTTTATGCTATAAACTCAGAAACCCAAAATGTGCTGTACTTATTACTTAGCATGCATTTATAACTTGTTCTCTTTCTGTGTAATTGCCAGTTAAGTTGCAATTTTGTGACATACGCACCATGTAACCCCTTCCCAGCTTCCCTGGTTCCTGTAACTGCTTGTTCCACCTCCTTGATTCCTGTAAAACTAAAGGAAATTACCTTTTTTGGAGACAAACTGATCCTAAGACTCTGACCCCTTCCCATGCAGTTCACTGCTTTATAACTCCCTGCAGCCCCTTGCTGGAGGCGCACACTTCCCTGGCTGCTTTCTGGGACAGTGTCGCTGCTGAGCTCAGCTAATAAAGTGCTTCTTTCTAATTTTTTGGAGTCTGTTGTTTTTTGACTATCACATTTTGGGGGCTCACTCGGATTACATCTTTTACGGGATTTACACCCCCCCCCCCCGCCGGGAGGCTCCAATCCCCCCTGGGCTCTTCCTCTTTGGATGACATCAGGATCTTTTTGAATGCAGCTTCCTTCTACTGGCAAGTATTTCTTACTTTTGTTTTGCTCTGCAATTTTCTTCTTTTCTATGTCCCAGATCAAGTTTTCAGGCTCGTTCCCATTTGGGCAAAACACTTCCAAAATTAGGGCAGGCTACTGCCATTTGAGTGAGAAATTGAGCTCTGTTGGGTGCACCATGCTTGGGGAGTCAAGTTTTCAGGCTTGCTCCCATTTGGGTGAGACATGACCAAAATATTATCTTAGCTCCCATATACTTTCATCTTCTTGTTCTACTCCTGATTCATCTGTTACTGAGATGCAATTTAAGCCAGACCTAATATGTAAACTACCTCCTAGAGCTTTTTATATTGATGATTAACTTGAGTTAATTAAATTAGATGTTTTTTGTGGGGCTATTTGGGTTACTCAATTGAAAATGTGTGCTTTTCCCTAGACTAGACTGCAGTTAACAAAAATTGATTATTTTTAAAAAAAAAGTCCCTGTGGCAGGTCTGCAATCAATAAATAGGAGAGTGGCAACCTGGTAATGCAAAATCAAGGACCTGCTCTAGTCTCCATAGCCCTTTTGGGTGATTCTCTGTCTTTGTGATAGGTTCCTGCCATTTTGCCTTTGTCTTTGAGGCAGTTTTCCACCAGCTTGTCTTTGTCCTTGTGGCA